CCACATCCTAAAATTGTTCCACACTAAAATTGTATTTGACGCCTTGTATTTTGTGACCTATAACTCCCAAAATAAACTGAAATCCCAAACATATGATATACCCTATAAATTAGGACAAATAAAATAATTTAATATGAATTACTTTCCGCTAGCTACACTAATTATGTACACATTATTTTTGAAATTTTGTGGAGTTTAAAAAAAAATTTTTTTAATAAAAAAAAAAATAAGAATTTATATATGCATGTCACATCAAACTAAAGACCATTTGTCATTAAAAAAAAACAGTATATGGTATGTGTAGGTGAAATGAAGCTGTGTCACTAAGGGGTTAAAAATTACACTGTGTATAAGTTCTAAAGGGTGGATAATAATGGAGAACCAGACACATTTCTATGGCTATGAGTATTCCGTTGCCCCTGGGTTTCTGCTCCACATGGAGCTAAGTACTTGGGCAAAAACAATTTGTACAATGCAATAATTTGTTTAATGCATATGGGTCGTGTCCAAACCTGTCCTGCCACTAGTACCTTTACATGGGTTTTTAAGAGTGTTACAGGTAAAAGGATAGAAAGGCAATAAAATGAGAACATGAAATTGAATAAAATCCTAAGGTAATTGTCAACAGCAGTCTCCTGCTATACTGATGCAAATTTAAAGCTAGCATTTCCCCTGTCAATGTCTTTAGATGACCACATTTTGTTTTTACATAGCTCCACTTTTGGTTGCATTGTTGTGGGCACAATGCGAATGGCGGCCTATTGTAAATATTCAACTAAAACCATGTAGTTCAACAAACCTGACAGTATTCTAGAAAGACCTAAAGACCTAGTGGTCCAAGCACAGAGATGCCTACAAATTTAATAAAGACACGTGTTTTCCAATTTGAATCACTGAATGAATAAACTTGATTGAAAAAATAATTAAATGCTAGACTTCTGGCAGATATAAGACACAGCTCAGAATTGATCATTTAGTCCTCATTCACACAAGGAATCGACCCGCATGTACAGCTCTGTGCTGCGCGTTGGGCCGTATCGAGCTGCTCCTGGGAAGGACAGGTGCTGCGTGTGATTAGTACACAGCCCCCGTCCTTCTCTATGGGACTACGCGACCATACGCTCACCCGCCCTGTACGTCCGTACGGGTGCGGGTGAGCGTACTCGTACGCTGACAGGATGGATCCTGTCTGCGTCCGAGCCAGGAAGCACGCACCCCTACAGACCTGCACTTGAGGTGAGCGTAGGGGGACATACGGCCACTTTGTCCCATAAAGGACGGTGGCTGCGTACTAATCACACGGAGCACCTGTCCTTCCCAGGAGCTGCTCGGGCCGATTCCTGTGTGAAGGAGGACTAAATGTATTGTTTTAAATGCAAGCAGCGGAAGTACCTGAATTTGACCTGGTATTAGCCTCTTGCAGTCCCTATACAGCAGAGCTCAGACTAAGAAATGGAGAAGTAGCACATGGGGCAAATCAGTTGTGCTGCAGTGCTCATGTGCTAAAAAGAGTTACATTAATAGGAGGAGAGACCAGAGTAGCAGGTAAATGAGCTCATAGGTCTGCTGCTTCTTGTTTTAACCCCCTTGCACAGACTGGGGGAGGAACCAGACCTGAAAGTGATACCTAACTGCAGCAGGGGAAAATAAGGTCTCCAGCCTGGCCAGAAAGGGCTGTGCTGTGGTGTCTATTCACAAAGCTGTGGAGGGCAGCCGAGTGAATGACCGATCAGATGTGAAGTGAGCCGAACACTGTTCGGCTATTCACTTCAGGCTGGTACGGCTGATTTCAGCCGTACATCGGCTGAAATCAGCCGTACATCGTACATCGGCTTGCTTCGTGTGGCTTCGGATCAGCCGAACATGCTCAGCATGTTCGGCTGACCCGAAGTGCAGAAATGTGGCAGAGCTGTGTAAATATTAGAACTGTATTGACAGAAGTACAAATCCTTTGGCAGGTGAAATAAATCCTGTATATGTGTGTTGAATCACCTGCCAGTTCAAATTTTTTAAAGGCTCAAAGGTGAGATTTCCCCACTTCAAAACACCACCACCCAGCATTAAAAAATAGTTGGTAAATTGGTAGGGTCCATCTCTATAAATCCAAGGGGCGGAAGGAGTCCGGAATAAGTATCTATCAGTTTTTCAATAGACTGACACAAAAATATTAAGTGCAACTGCAGCCAAAACATGTTTTAGTTTTACAGAGGGCCCGCTGCTTCCACACAGAGAGCAAGGGTCCTTCTACGCAGCAAGCTGGCAGGAGACACACTTTTCTACTCAGCCTATGGCTGCTGTTTACAGAAAATGAACAGTAAGGCTTTGGAACAACAAGAATGTACTTTTGTTCTTCTTCATCATCTGTGCCCTTCGTTGCCCTGACAAGTCCAAAACTATAATTATATGTGGGTACATTTATAGGTGTGTACTCAGATCAAACAAAATGGAGAATAATTGACCTACATATCTCAGGAATCCGTAATTTGTTTTTGTACATAGAATGTTGAGATGTCATTAGTGTCCATGGGAGATTCATAACATTGTAAACAAATTGTTGATAAAGTAATTTATCAAAACTAGAACAGACAGAATCTGAAGCAGTTGGACATGGTATCCAATCAGCTTCTGTCTTCAGTTTGCTCAGGTAAGATTTTAAAATGACACAGAGAAACTGATTGGTTGCAGTACAAATCTGCTCCAGATTTTGTCTGCTCCAGTTTTGATAAATTCCCCCCAATGCATACTGTAATTTCAACTTGTTTTATGACAATTTATGGACCAATTAAAAATGTAACAAAAAAACTCTACACTTCAACGCTGGCTTAACAGTACATTATATGGATTGGACATTTGTGAGCAGTTCTGCATTGGTTTTGTTTGCAAGAAAGAGATAAACATGGCTTCACAATTTATAGCCTCAGGGGCGTCCCGAGGCCGGGTGTCACCCGGAGCACGTACCAGGTGACAACCCCGCCATGATGTCATCGCGCATGCACGTCACCACACACGTGTGCAATGACGTTATCGTGCATGCACAGACATCACCGTTCACGCGGGGGGATAAGGTATGCCATTGGGGTCCCCTCCACTCTCCTGCAACTGTCTGGCTCACGGTCCATGACCGAGTGCCCGACTTTTCAGAGGGGGTGACACCAAAATGACTGTTAGTCATTTTGGTTTCACCCCCTCCAATGGTGTCACCCGAGTGCGGGCCGCACCCCCCTAGTGACGCCACTGTGTAGCCTTCAATGTACTTCAATGATATAGATTCACTAGTGCATGTCTGTTTCAGTAAACAAAAATAAAAAATTGACCACTGGATGAATGCAAGTAGGTGATCAAAAAATCCTATTTCAGTGTTTGTTGGTTGCCCTATTGCAATACTGGCATTTTATACAGAATGTCGGCCCCTTATTGCTGCTGCCTTAAAGAAGATCATTGAGCAAAATGTTTATTAACCCTCGCAGTGGGGCTACCCCTGCACTGGAGGGGTTAACTGCTCCTTTTCATCTAGGTGCCAAAATAAAAAAGTTATACTCACCCGAACCTCGGAGTCAACTGAGTGTCACAGCACTCCCTCCTGCCTGTCGCCTCATATGATGCCCAAATGGTATATCCTTCTGCCTCCTCACGTCTAATACACTGTGTACTGGACATGGTGACTTGAGGATCCTTAAGGTGTCCATACACCTTACGAATATTGGCTGATTTTCGTATGCGTTAGGGTTTACATCCGATATTCGTACGGTTGCTGGGTAGTGTACAACCGCAAATACTGTACTATCGACCGACTTTTGACTAACCAGCAGGTTATAAAACTTCGGTCTATGGTACGATTTTCGCAAGGTTGGTGGCGTTTCCGTACATCAAAATTCGTACAATTTGCACTGCACATGCGCGGACAAAAATACGTGTGGTCGATTACCGCAAATTCATCCAGGTGCTTTCTTCTAATTACCGCTGAACCAACCTTGCGATGATGGGGGCAGGATGGAGGCGCCGTACGAAAATCGTACAACGGTTCCATCATTCGCAAGGTGTATGGGCAGCCTTAGACTGCTGCAGCGGAAGGTCAGTGAGGCTGCGAGGATCTAAGAGCCAGCTAGTTCCAAGGTTCAGGTGAGTATAACTTTTTTTGTTTTAGCACGTAGACGAAAATGAGCAGTTTATGGGATATCCCCACTGCAAGGGTTAATAAAACTTTTGCCCGGAGTTCTTATTTAAGGCCACTTTTGGCCTGAAACATGTTAGCAGGATTACTATGTCTGGTTTTATGCCATGATTCAATAAAGAAGACTTTTGCTGGATCCAGAACTGTTTGCAAACACTTTTTTTCCTTGTGAATGAACTTCCTTAATTCTGTCATGATGTTAAAAGTTTGTTAATAGCAACCCATTGTTATATGCTGTATGTGTTATAACAAAAATGGGTACAAAGGAGTTCTAATCTTAACAGCCAATGAAGTGCAGTCCTTCTACTAGAGAATGTAAACTTTGAGTATGGGCGACACCTCCACACATTTCTTGGCTCCAGCATCAGGATTAGTACTCCTTTCCTGAGTACTTGAATGGAGTGGGATGCTTAATTATTAAAACTGAATTGAAGAGAAAATGACTATTTGATGATAATTATGGTGGTGTCACTCGGTTTTGTTAATATTACAATAATATGTATTATTACTAGAAACATTTTAAAAGTTACCTAATGAAAAATACTTTAACCCTTGCATGTCATAAGTCTATGTCTCTTCGTAAAGCCATATCACAGATGTTCTAGCTGCACTAAAGAACTTGGGTGACTTTAGCTATTAAAATCTACCCCATGAACTTATCACACATGACATAGCAAAAGAGGAAAATAAACTGCGATGACCTCCTGCTGTTAGTGGTTACTTAGAACCAGTTTGGTGAGAGGAAGAAGGGAGGCAGGGGATGCAGTGTATACAACAAGGTGATGGCTTTTCACCTGCTTCTAAAACTAATTCTCAACAAACAGGTTTCCCAAGTAAAGTGTCTGGTGTATAAAAGAGAGGAAGATTACTGTGTCAAGGCACAACTGAAGAAAAAGAGCACGAGCTATCATCTCTTCATTATCATCAGGTAAGATAGCAAAGAGGTAATATGCTACGCAAGTTAAACAAAACACACACACATCTATCTATCTATCTATCTATCTATCTATCTATCTATCTATCTATCTATCTATCTATCTATCTATTTTTTAAATTTGAAATGTGCTGTATATATTTCAGACAGCCACAGTCCATCCATTACATGCTGTCGACCACTGCACTCTATACATAGCATACATGTGTATTTCTGTACATTGTGTAATACGCACTACTCCACTTTCTATATTACCTAACATGCCACTCCCTTCTGCATACTGTGTACATGATAGACTATACACTGCATCATCATATAGCTGTCATATAAATACCACTGGCAAATGATCAGATAATTGAAATTTCATACTGCTTCAGGAACAACACATTTTGTTATTATAGTTACATTTTATATGCAACTTTTACCAACTATCAATGGGCATATCAGCAGTTTCATGTATTTGAATTGACATTACATAAGCATCCAACCCGTGAAACTTTCTCTAAATTATCATCAGGTAAGATAGCAAAGAGGTAATATGCTACGCAAGTTAAACAAAACACACACACATCTATCTATCTATCTATCTATCTATCTATCTATCTATTTTTTAAATTTGAAATGTGCTGTATATATTTCAGACAGCCACAGTCCATCCATTACATGCTGTCGACCACTGCACTCTATACATAGCATACATGTGTATTTCTGTACATTGTGTAATACGCACTACTCCACTTTCTATATTACCTAACATGCCACTCCCTTCTGCATACTGTGTACATGATAGACTATACACTGCATCATCATATAGCTGTCATATAAATACCACTGGCAAATGATCAGATAATTGAAATTTCATACTGCTTCAGGAACAACACATTTTGTTATTATAGTTACATTTTATATGCAACTTTTACCAACTATCAATGGGCATATCAGCAGTTTCATGTATTTGAATTGACATTACATAAGCATCCAACCCGTGAAACTTTCTCTAAAAAAACATACGTGGCAGTGTAAGGGATGCAACTTGCAGGAAATGAACGTTCCAGTGTCTTTTTATATATGCCAAGCTTTGTAACTCATTAGGAAATGTTCAAACAGGACCGTTCGTTTGAACTTTGGATTGGGAGAAGAGCTAGAGCTGCAATCAGCTTTTGATTTATGATTTTCTTTCTGTGCCAGATCTGGCATACATTTACTGTTAATTGCCTAGAAGAGATTGGACTGCAATCATTTTATGGACTATAATATATAATACTGCAAATAATGGTTATGCCTGGTCTGGGGTGTTGTCAGTTATCGCTTATATTTTTGGTGGAAAAATCAAAAGAAATTCTTTACAGATTTGCACAATATGTTGGCAAAAATATATTGCACTGGCATATTTGCACATATGTAGAAAACAAATAGAGAAATTGGCAGAACAGCTATGGAAATAGACAACACTGTTGGAATCAATATGCCTCATGAAAATATGGAGAGATACCAATTTTATTCTTTGATAAATAGTGAGTGAATGTGATAGAAAACATATGTTTGATTAGAGAGAATTGTTTGCAGGTTGCCACAGTTTTGAAATATGTTACATAAGATGGAGTTATAAAAGCTTGAAGAGTGTATTGACTGTTGAGACTGGTACAATTCTGTGTTATTATTTTAGTTCTTGCACATATACAGTATATCTTTTCCTATACGGGTTTCAGAACTGCCACGTCCTTTCAATATTGTTTCAGTGGAAAAATAAACTCTGTTATTACTTGCTCCTGCAGTCTTGTGTCTACTCCCATTCTTCCATTCCATTATCCTGACTAACAGCATAGTTAGGTTTCATGTACTAGAATAGAGGAAGTCCTTATTACATCATTGGAGCTGAGGTCTTTTATTTTTGGTTCCGACATGTTCAACTTTAACATTGAGGAGTGGCGCCACCTATGACTGCATGATTGATTTATATGAATTTTTTTTAAACTGGAGCAAACAAAATCTGGAGCAACTGTGCATGGCAACCAATCAGCTTCTTTCTTTTTCTTCCTACCCTTATCTAAACAAACTGAAGAGAGAAGCTGATTGGTTGGCATGCACATCTGCATCAGATTTTGTTTGTTTTGATAAATCCCCCCCCCCATAGTGTGTGTGTATATCTGCTGTCAGGCAAGGGTTTCCTTAGTCATAAGACTGGCTAAATTAAAATGATTTTAAAGTACATGTCCAACTAAAATGTTAAAAACTTGAAAGGGGTTTTAACCCTTCTGTGCTATCCAAACTAAGAAAAACTGAGTTTGGATAGCATAGAAGGGTTAGAACCGCTTTCAAGTTTTTACCTGCAATCCAGGGCACTTTCAGAGAAATTTATCCTCACTTCCTGTCCTGTCTGGTAAAATGTTGTCAGCAGGATACGGGGGGACTCTTCAGCAGCAATACAGCCTGAAATAAAAGTTATTTTTTTGGTTTAGTAGAGATGGGGTAGGCTGGAGTCTCTCCCAGATTTTCATTGCTTTCTGGGCCTGTGTTCCAGATTCTTCCAACTTTCTGATAAAACCGTTGTCAGTGGGACAGGAAATAAAGGGGAATCACTCTAATGGCGCCCCAGACAGCAGTACAAACCCGAAATGGCCTTTAATCCTTCCCCACTTTATCCAAAACTAGAAAAAACGGTTTGGGCTTGACATACATTTTAAGTTTTATTGGCAATAATAAACATAAATATGGGAACTTGGTAAAGAACCAAAGCAGCATTTGTTATCCACATATGCATTTTGCAGGAATTTATCATATGACCAAAAAGGAGTATTCAAATGTTTCTGTTCTTAATTACAGTGTTGCATGCCAAGGGAAACCTACACATCTCTGCTTATAATTATAACAGGTAGGCAGTTGTGTACACACTTTGAAATACTGCCGGCAAGAAATATGTCAACATTTTACATTTCCAAATTTGATTAACAATTATCTTCATATCTAGTAACATGTATTCATTTTTTTCACCTTTTTTGTAATTAAGGAAAGCATTGACTATAATGCTATATATAACAAATATATTTATTTATTCCAATCTTCCTAAATAACTTTACAACTCAGAGAAAGCTGAGGCTGTCTGTTAGCTCTCAATTAAAACTTATGAACATTATCAGCTAAACGGAGCAACAGAACACTACTTATTATTACAGCACAAATGGAGGACGTTTTGCACATATTGGGGAAAGTAAGAACTATTTTAAATCCCCCAGCTACTTCTCCTATATGCCCAAGAGCTCCCGGCTCAGTTCACACCTTTAATCCCAGAATTGTCTCTGCCCTTCTTTCGGCCTAGGAACAAATCGAGAACTTGGTCAAAGAGCACTGACTACATTTTTCACCCTTAGAATATGGGGGCTGCACTTCATTTGAAGTTTAAAAACCTAAGTCTTTCAACTTTGGCACCTAAGGCCTTCAACTTTGGCACCACGAGAGATAGGTGTCTAGATAATCTTTTAGTCTACCAGTACCTTCCCGAAACTTTAATATAAATGCAGAGTACATACCGTGTTTCCCCGAAAATAAGACAGTGTCTTATTTTTTTTTTGCACGAAATAAGACACTAGGTCTTATTTTCGGGGGATGTCTTACCTGGCTGGGGGAGCAGTGGACGAGGTCACGGAAGGCGGCGTGCTGTTGCCGGTCCCGGCGGGTGTCGCTTCCATTGTGCGTGTGTGCGTGAGCTGCGGCCGGTTTTTACACAGTTTATGTGCCGCTACCCCGAAAGTAAGACCTAGCGGATCTCTGTAATATAAGACCTACCCCGAACTAGGTCTTATTTTTGGGGTAGGTCTTATATTACAGAAATCCCTGAAGATAGTGGTAGGTCTTATTTTCGGGGTAGGTCTTACTTTTGGGGAAACACGGTAGCTAGAATTCTAAAAAGATCTTTCATAGCCAATATGTCAGAACTTTCCTATTGGGTATTTCAGGACTAAATTTTTGAATTGCTAAATCAATAAATTTTACATTTTGATAATTTTCAAGACCTAGTAAGGTTATATAACTGGGTTATAACAGGTTACTTTTCACTTAATTTTTTTTTTTAATGCTGCACTTCTAAGGGTTGTGATGTTCTATTTATTTTTAACTAGACTATTTTTTTGAGCATTCATTCTATATATGTATTACATTTGCTTGATTTTCTTTTACTGCATTTTATTGATCTCCTTTATGATGACATATTGTTGTGTTGTTACATTACAGAAAACCATTTTTGCTTCTGGATGTAAGAGGATTTTATTAAAGTGATGAAATAGAACTAAATTGGTAACCTAGAAATAAAATAGCCTTGAATTTAACGAAAACATGTAACAGGCTTATATTACAATTAGAAAGGATGCCATTATTATTGTGCCATACCAATCCTGCAAATGGTTTTCCTCAAATGCTAACATCACAGCTTTATGAATTTGACATGTTTCAATAAGGATTTGGGAAATAGCTTGACTACTTGGACTCTAAAAGGAATGAAAATGGTGAACTCCAAAACAATAATTCACAAAGAGACTGAATTGCATTACCCTAATTCTATTTCCAATCTGTAACTAAAGAAAATAACCCGGCAGTTAACAGTAGTCTTGATGGTTTGTAGGCATGAGTCATAGCTCTAAACATCTCTTTCCCCCTCTAGAGCATGTCCAGGCATTCATTTTTCCTTTTACCTCCTTCCTGTAGTGAGAAACAGCTTTTATTATACACCGTGATGTCATCACCAGGCTTGTAAAATTCTTGCAGGAATGACTGCTGGGTGGAAGTCAGTTCCTATTGACATAGGCACACCCACCAGAGCTACATCTTCCAAGAGACCTTTGCCTACACACAGAGTGTGGGCAGGGTTTTGGGAGTCAAGGCCAAAGTATTGTTTTGCTGGGAAAGAAATCAATGTATGCATGGACTGGGACTGTGGGAGTTCTACAGACCAGTAGGAAGGGCTGACAATGCTAGCTGTGATTTCAGTGCAGCAGAGATAC